TTGGAAAAAACCAGGCGAGCTGCTTGTTAGGTTCGATTACCAAAATTAGGATTTATCTCACAAATTAAGGATTCCAGTTAGGTGGAAAACCGGTTTTACACGCCTCACTCCTGACTAATAGTGGGCTAGGTGGTTAGCTCACTCAAACAAGAGTAATGCTTGCGTTAACCAATCGATGACTACATGGTTTTTCAGTCAATTTCCTGTGACTGGTCCTATCTAAGCCACGGTTCATCCGGCAGTTTCTTCTGGCAGTTTAGGCTTATGTTTGTATTTAACTAGACTGTTTTTCTATTTTAACTGTTTTACCTTATCTCCTGGTGAATATGTGCGACGACTGAACGTATAAAGTTGACCGACAGTATCAAAAAGTGTTTTATAAATATCAATTCCGGTTACTTGGTGATTAAATTGTGATAAGCAAATACATTGGGGTAATACAGCAATATTTTGTTGTCTTTACAGTGTAACTCTAACTTTATTGCTTATACAGGCTCCGAGGTATAACAGGTGTTAGCTGTTCGTTATTTGTGGCTCGTTCATGCGACAGGTGCTGTGTACGCACTCTTCACTCAGACAAACATAAGAAAGGCAGATAAATCAGCTCCGGTTGTGAAGAGATCTCAAGATAGCGCCAAAGTGTGACAATAACTAATTACCTGTCATTACCTGGCCAAACGTACAAGTATTTTTTTTCTCATTATTCGAGATAAAAACCTGTGATGTAATCGTTCGCATTCCGTCCCTTGTATTGCTGCATTAATTGACCTGCTGGATAAACGCCATATGATATCTAGTTTTTTTCGAGCATTGCATTTGTGTCCAAAATTATATGAAGCGAAACATATTTGGAAAAGTACTGCCAGTCATGACACATTTTTCTAATGGGCCCTTTGAAATTAAGGGTTTGATTGTGTCAACTGTGTTGTTCTTGGAAGAATAAAGTGTTCAAAATAATGACTTGAATTTATTTGGAGATGTTCACACTTTCAAAATGTCACCTTCGGTTTGAGCTCTTGAAAGTTGAATGGAGTATACATTTATCGTCAGAGATAGCAAATCTTATTACGACAAGGTATCATCCATTCATTTTAATCAGCAAGCTGTGTCACAGCAAACTAGGCACAATAAGAGCGGCTTTTGAGATCCTGTACAATACCACCCTTATTCCTAATGAGTAGTTTGTTCAGGCATTGATAAATTTTGAGTAGGTGTGGGTCATGGTTAGAAAGAAGTGCAGTTCTCCCGAGAGTGTGAATCTTTAAAGCTGTAGCTAGGTTCTGGTTACAAGTAGATAACTTGGTTTTTGTCCGTTTTTTTTAATCCTGTAATACACAGCCTCGGCAGAAAATCATCACTCGGTACATTCAGAATACTTATGTGTTTGCGTGATAACCTGAAGAACATAGATTATTTAAAACGTCGTGTGCGCCGAAGGAAATCTAATAAGCTAAATCCAGGGTAAGACCTCTTGCATGTGGATTATTTGACCGCATCTCAGTTCTTTTTTTGCATATCAGTTAAAGTGCAAATTGATCGTGGTGTAATTTTCTCATTGTTGATCAACATTTAGTCCTGTGAGTGAGGTCAATCTATACCAAGAAGCTGAGGGGCACCATACAGCTGTTTCAACAGTTCACACCTCAAGAATCTCAGGTAGTTTTAAATCCAAGACCATCCAACCAGTATTTGAACAAATAATCTTTCGGTGTCGAGTGGCTTATCAGCGGTGTGATGAACTCATACTGGACAGGACATAGCGCAGCTCATCCATCAATTACGAAAGTCACATCGCATAATGAGGCGTTGACCGGTTCACCGAATGATGACTTCTTAAATGAAATTCTCACTCGTCTTACGAAACCATTCTTTCTCTAAACCACTTATAGACTGATCATAGTATGATGAGACAGTGAACTACAAGGACGAAATCTAACTTGAATATTACAAAATAGCCAGTAGGTCATGTCTTGTGAGAGATCAGAGATATCGGTTCAGAGTGAACGATTAAACACAGTGGTGATCACAGTTAAATATGCACACAAAAATTCAGGAATGGGATTATAGCAGTTTAGAGTGAACATAACGCTAACGGATATGTCCAAAGATTAGCGAAGTACCGAATTAATAAAACCATACTACGAAACAGTGTATTCTTTTACCAACCTAGCTCAGCGTTAGTTATAAGTTGCTCTCAAACACCCGAAGAAAGGCTGCCGATGAACCGTTACATCTTTCTCAATGTAAAATTTTTACTTTACTCTTATATGTGAATAATTTCAAAAGCCACCATAGCCTTGTTAACTCTGTCAATCATTTTCTGACAATAAAAGACGGCTTTCATATTCGGAAAGTTGGTTCCGGTTCTGTTTTTTGATGTATTTTATTTTATCCTCATTGTTCTGTGTATTACTGAAGGACAGAATATTTACGCCAAAAATTTCACACACCTGTCCTTTATGTCGTCTGTCCCAATGAGCGATGGTCTATCATAAAAAAAGCGCTTTGTCAGCTTAATTTTTTATCAGAACACTGGACATAACTATTTGTGGCGCACTTTCCCGGCTGGTAAAGATACATTTTGACAATATGCAGAACAAATGAACTCGTTACCGCACTATCTGTTTATCTGTATAAGCAGCCATTGAGAATATGAAAGGCGGTCAATAGAGAAAAGTCAGTGTACTTAACTATCTCTCCGTAAAACAAATTGGAATTTTTGTGCAGTAATCTACTTTCATTTGAAATAAGCGAATTAGACGACCATAATCAATCGATGGGGATAGTCACGTATAGAGTGATGCAACAGCAAATCTCACACGTGTCTGTCAAAAGAACACGGTGACGTGGGTCACAAAAGCATAATTCTTTTATTCTCTTAAGAAACCACATCAAACAATTTTTAGATGATTTAAAAACACAACTAACAAACAAACCTGAGAATTTATCTTTTTTATTTACGAGGGAAACAGAACTGTTTGTTCAAATTATACATATTTTATGAAACTTTTCATGACGGTTGAGATGACTCGATACGCCGTAAAAAGGTGCGAGCAATAAACTTCACAAATGATCGAAGCCAGATATCTAAGCTGTGACCTTTTAGCAATATAAATAAACGTCTGGTGATGTTAGATCTGCAGCCAACTGTGGACGTGAAACCGACCTGAGTGATGATGGAGTCATTATGCTAATCAATGTCTTCACAAAATGAAAGCTGTGGAAAAACAGGCTTTGGACAAAAATATGCTGCCTGACAAACTCACCGCGAGCCTCAAAACAATCTCATAAACAACGAATAGTCGGTGGCGTGTCAGCTATTTTGCCTCAAACCGGGTCTTGACTGATCAAAATCGGTCTCCTTGAAATAACCTGTGCGATTAAAAGTATTTGTCCAAGTATCTAATTTCCTTTTCAATTTAATTGTTTGTGATGCACAATTCTCACCTTACACTTGGAGGCTATTTGAAGCTTATTGTGGCTCCTACTGGAAATATTCCGTTTGACCTTGAGAAGGCTCCCAACACAAATAACGATGGTTTAATCAAAGGCTATATATTTTTGTAAAGTAAGATGGTCTCAAACGCGGTAGTTCACGAAAGCAATGTTCAAGGTATCCTGTTCATCCATCCGTTGCATATTTTTAACCTTTTTGATAAAACACACACGTCTATCTCTGGTTCATGTATCCTGAGCCCAAATTCGACGATTATTTGGGTTTCTCATTTTCCCGTCAGTTGTCTATTTCATGGAGATTTCCTACGCCAAGCGTTAACAAAGAACGCGATTTCAAGGATTCCCTTAAGCTAAAGAGTAGATTAAAACGACCAAGAAAACACTCAGATACTTCCCCGATAGTCAGCGACACCGATAGCATTCTAACGCGGTCGTAAACAAAATCTATCTACCAGCTCAAGTACTATTTTTAACCAATGTTGGTCCATTGTCACTTTACCCACATTCTAGAAGAGAATGGTGCCTTACACAGGTAATATTTTGGCAAGCTCCAGACACTCTACATGGTGGAATGTATATATTAATAAACACACCACAATATGGAAGCAGACTAACTTCATCGACTGCAATTTATCTGAGAGAAAGGGATTGTCTCTGTTATCTGGAAGGCCTGTCAACCTCTGTGGTAGTCTACAGTAACTTCACTCCTAGACTTCTGGAGTTCAAAAGACCACTACCGTATAGTTCGTGCGACTGTGAAATCTGACCCATTCCAGGTCTCATACGCCGTCGTTTTCCGCAGCTATCACCATATGCCTCAAGGCTGAAGAAATCAAATTCATTGTGAATATTTCGCAAACTGCACGTTTACCATACTAAAGAAATCAACTGATGGATAGCAATTCGCTGTAAGCTCTCACCCAAAGCATAAAGCCTACACTCTTTGGCTTATTTATGCTCATCACCTGCCTCCCGAAACGCTCAAACATATCACACTTACCATGGTGACGGAGCAAACATATTCTGCCAAACTATCAACGAAGTTCATTCGCTCATATTCTGTCATGGTCTAATCAAAGGCTGTCAGGGAACCCGCGTGGAATTTGTCACGCAAGAAGGTTATGATACTGCGCCCCTCATACTGGGTCGTTAACTGAAGATAACTCTAACATAACTATTCACTTAATGACTTTTGCGACAAAACTATTGATGGTTTTCGTGAGGCAACAATATTTTGCTAAAGTTAAATCCCAGTGACCAGTCTACTAAATTTGTATGCAGTCGTCGAGTTTCCTACGCATTTTATTTCTGGTCCTCAATCGCAACATCTCTGGCATTATCCATATTAACCATTTTCTCTAGACAAATATCACGGAAAACATCATTTACTATTTTCTCTAGACACATATGTGTTTTTTTAGGAAAAAAGCACCGGATTCATCTCATATTTTGTCTTGCTTTGAAATAGGCACTCTTGCTGCGGTGTAGGAAACTGTGTTAGTTGTCCAAACGGTGTGAGAAATACATGTGATCTCTGAATATCCACTGCATTTATTCTTCAGATAAGCTATAACTGCGTATTTTGCGCTGCAAAATTGTGAGCAGCACATCACAACACTATACACAGCAAGTGATAAACGGTCATTGCTAAATTCCAACAGAGTTCTCGATATAGTGAATGAACTGTTATAATATTTACAGCATAAAGGAAGTGAGCGCTTCAGCGCAAGATAACAGAAACTATCTTGTACATGGTAAACGGAAAGAGTGATTGGAACACCACCGGCTCAAGTGAATCCGGCAATTACGGTTTCCCCAAAAGCCGTACACAATTGTATCCAATACTGCACTGGTCTGCGACCATAAAGTTGTGTACCAGAGCCAGATGTAAGCCCCAGAAAGGTTAGAACAAAGAGAAGGGGATTGGAGCCAGCCAATCATAAGAACAATAGCCCTTGGAGCACGACACATGACAAAACCCAAAAGTAGTATGATCAGAATTCGCAGAGTTCGTCGATGTTGCCGGCGCAACATTTGCAGCAACAGAGGTTCCTCTCCGGGTCTTCCAGCACCGTCTGAGTTTCGGCTGTGAAATACGCTGACAAAGACGTCATTGGTGCTCTTGCGTCGTATCTGTGGTGTCCCAAACGACATTTTTCGATTGTAGCTGTTTTTGAGTTCTGTGCGAGCGATGATCGCATCAGATTCCACTTCATCACATAGTTCTGAAGTGCTTCTGCGTCGCTGGTTTATTAGGGATTTGCCATTGCACGGTTTAGTAGAACACGATAGCGATTCTTTAACGGGCAATTCTGGCACAAACAAGAGGTTTCGCTTTGGCGTTTCTTGTTCTGTAGGAGCTGACTTTTCTTGAATACTTTCAGCCTCATCCACTCGCAAATCCTGGTTGCTACTTTCCAGCACACGCAGTAGCGGAACCGTACCAGTGGTGCCATTCATCAGCAATCCCTTTTTAACTGAGGATGGGCCAACGACTGTTACAGAGCTACCCGAAACGAAGGAAGATTTGCTTGTGTTACTTGACTGTCTGGAAAAAAATCGCTTGTCACGCGCGGCGACCTGATTAAAAAGACAGAGAGGCAGAAAAGGTGTGCAATAAAGTTTGGTATCCAGGTTGCTTACTGAATAAATGGAAAAACAATTAACAAACAAACAATTCTACGCTTACCTAATTTTACGGGAACCACGTGACGAGCATTGGATAATGCCTGAACAATGGAAAATTTAGTTGAATTATACCGACAACGCACAATTCCGTGGTCTGTAATTTGTTCACAAAGATGGAGCCTTCTGTCTGCCTCTCGTGTCGCCACGAGGAACCACAGCGTAAGAATCATTAAAATAGCTCGAAAGAAGTTGGAAGTATCTAAGTTTTTAATCGGAACACAGCATCAATATTTCTGACAACTCTTTAGGAAGCCATATAAAGGACAGCGAAAGCACGGTGTTAACTGATTTCACTGCCCTCTTAGAAACGACCGATTACAGCCTCGCTAAATGAACCATGATGAATCTAATTCAAAATTAGTCCAACACAACAGGAACCTTGGGACCACAGAGTATAGCGAGATTTGTGGGCGTATGCATGATCACGTAATTCAACTCCAGTTCATAAATATGTTAACAGCTTAAAGGAATGCCAATGGGATCGCCAATATCAAGACCAATTACAAAGGTTGTAGTGCACAAACCTGAGCACAGCATTCTTCCACAGACAATCCCAAAGCTTTGGATCCAATATATGGACGGAACAACTGTTATTATCAGATAAATTTCAATTCAGATCTTTAAAAACTGCTGAACTACACGTCTGAAGATGTCAGCCGAAATCTACGTTGCTGGATGTGTAGGTTCAGAGGACCAACCGTGAAAAAAGCCAAACATGCTTAAATAAGGAGAAAACGCATACAAATCGGATGCTGAGCTTTACAGTAATCACAAAGAGCCGCACTTTATTTCTTTCAGTAACACATAAAGCCGTATTCTAATTCCATTCAAATGAACATAAAGCAACAGAACTGAAAAGAGAAGGTAGTTTACATGAAGTGTTACAAAACAGCAGATACTCAAAAGAATTCGTCGGAAGAAACCTGGAGAAAAGGCTATTTTGGCAAAAACAACGGTGAGAAAAGACGATTCAGTGAACCATGCTTTACTGTGTAAAGGTCTTCTCTGAATTGACAGTAAAAACAGTGCAGGTGCATAAATTTGGAGTAGTTTATAAGCAAACGGCTACCTTGAGAAGATTGATTTCAAATGGGAAAAAATCGGGCAACGTATTCGTGAAAGTCTCACCAACCAGAAAAGTCGCAGTGAATGCAACAAGGATGCACTGGACAAATCGGAAAGAGACCGTCTATGCGGTCAAAAGAAAATAAGGAAACCGTAAGAAGGCACAGCATGCTTTCCATGAGCTCTATACATGAAAATCAGGAAGGCTGTAATTCAGAATGGACTGTGTGAAGACCTTGAAACATGGAGGTATCAAACGCGAAGAAAAATTTCTGGGTGCGTAGTATTTTACAACGAACTCAATAAACCAGCAAGCTGAAGTTGACCCGAAATATGTATGTGCATCAAAAACAAACCACGAACTTAAACGAATAACGCAAGCACGGCCGAGTCTTAGACAAGCGGATCCGACAGTAGGATCAACGATGGGACCAGTATGGCAAAGGCCACAGGGTATAAAGAAGAAGCCAAGTTCGAAGGGCTCCTGGTTGTTAGCCAATCAGAAAGCAAGTCCGACTAATAGGTACAAGCGATCACAGTCGAAAGTCGCCGCCTTCAAGGGCTCGTATATAATTTCGGCAAACAACTAATCAAAGTAAAACCACCAACCTATCTTCAACAACACTTTGATTATGTCGTTTTGGTTTATTACAAAAAGTTTGCGACAAGTTAGCCTTCCTCAGTGGACAAGCTGTTTATAAACCCTACAACATCAGCTGTCAGCTTTCTCTTCCGCCTCATTAATATGCATGCATTGTGGTTGATAACAACCACCCGGGTCTTGCCAGAGGGTCAAAGTGTCGCGAAAAAGTTTTGACAGTTATGGTTGTACCTCAACATTTCCTTTGAAAACAGTGTCTTTATCACGTACCCCCATTCGCTGATTTTCAACAACTTCGTCGTTACATTCCATCGTTAGTGCTAAACTAACGGAGTTTTTTTCAATATAATGTCATTGTTTCATTTAACACCCTTAGAGTTCAATTCAGTAATCATTTTCTTCTGTATGCTATGAAATCGAGCGATTATTGGGTAATTCTGGACTGATATGTGATGAGCATCAGATCACCACCATCATCATCATCATCATTTGTTCAGATTGTCCATCTTCATTGAAGTTGTGTTGAGGCACCCTCAGACGACATATCCGTGGTGTTCTTATATAAGATGTGACCCCTCTTAAGAAGCCAACCGCGATCGCAATGGACTTCACGTGCTCACTGTTGTGACCGATCTACAAATTTTCTTTCTGAGGTTCTTTCCTCTAAGGGAAGATAGTTGCAGCACCACAGTCAGCTCGGTTCTTCCTGATAGTCTGCTTCAAATAAGAGGTCTCCGTATACGTAGTATCAGAATGCATGCCGCCAAACACTGATCATCCAACGCAAAGAAATGAACTCCACTGAATGTACAACCCATTCTTAGAATGGCCCATTTCACCTGCCTGCGCATGATAATTAGACTACACGAGACGATGGTTGATCCAGTTCACTCCTTGGTCGCAGTGCACTTTCACGAATCCTGCGTTTCTTGTTTGCTTTACCATGGTCAGAATTTAGAAAAAACGAGCGGAGGGAAATAAGCAAATGTTGGTTATTGACTTGAGTGGTAAACGGTTGATAAGAAAGAAAATTAGTAATGGGTCTAGCCAGTGGGTACTGAAGCAGATTTCCCAGTTCGTACGCGGACATCTTTTGCTCTGGTAGCGTGACCACAATCCGATCGGTCCGCATTCTCGAAAGACTAGTGGTTCGTAAAAATCGGAATCTACGAGATCTCTCCGCAACCAAACGACCAAATTACTATACGTCTAGAATTGGGATGAGTGTACTCACGTGTGGGGCTGTTTCCCTAGGAATTAAAAAAGATATGACTACACGATCGTTATCTTGTTTAGCAAGAACAAAAATGGTTGTCTTACTGCATCTATTTAATAGGAATATTCTATTCAACTAGTGTTACCAAAGCTAGTGTACTGCGAATAACTCAAAAACATGCTCAAGGTTCTTCTAAAAACTGGCATTTTAAGAAACATTAGTCGGGTGAGTTGAACATAAACATGTGTCGAGTGACGACCACTTAAAAGGCTTACAAAAGTAGTCACAGTTGACAAGTCTTCCTAAATTAGAGAGGTGCGCCCCCATTTAGCAACTAGCACGAAAACCAATATACTGATGCGATTCTTACACTTTTTAAGCCTGCAGAATAACGAGTGAGAACAAGAAGTGCTACGCATTTCGATCGGTCTTGATATATTTCGAGGAAATCGCCATACATATCAGGATAATCGTTGTAGCTTTGAGCTGTAGCTGACGAAGGACAGCGGTACTGGATGTTAGACCTGTAATTAGCGATGCTTCATCTAGTAACTAGATAATTTATTGATCGCTTCGTGAACAGGGTGACATTGCCAAGCTTTTTGGGATTTGTAGACGATTTAAAACAACCTGAATAACCCTGCCGCACGGATTAGCGTGCGCATCACATCTGCAAAGTGTAAAGTGCTGCCACAAGACTGGATGGCATCAAACCCAAGCCTCGTGATTGCAGGTAAGCCAATTAATGTGGTAGATAGATTTGTTAACCTGGAAGCTATATCAGTCCCGGTGGGCTGGCTACAGATTAGACTATTCCTTGAATGGGAAAGGCCAGGACAGCGTTTGGCAACCTCTGACACCTATGGCGTCTGTGAGATGTTCGTTTGTCAGTCAAGAGCGTGCGCATTCTGCAAAGTGTAAAGTGCTGCCACAAGACTGGATGGCATCAAACCCAAGCCTCGTGATTGCAGGTAAGCCAATTAATGTGGTAGATAGATTTGTTAACCTGGAAGCTATATCAGTCCCGGTGGGCTGGCTACAGATTAGACTATTCCTTGAATGGGAAAGGCCAGGACAGCGTTTGGCAACCTCTGACACCTATGGCGTCTGTGAGATGTTCGTTTGTCAGTCAAGAGCAGAGTTTACACTGCGATGGGGCGATCCATTCTGCTTTATGTATCTCTACGTGCCTCTACGTGCAGAGGACGTGCAAAAGATGTCAGTGTCAGGGAACATTGGATTAGTAGTGCTGAGGTTCGCCGGATGGGCTTAGGCCTGCCGCTTAATAGTTTACGGTGCTTAGGATATGAACTCCAGATGGACAGTCTATCCCACAGAACTCTTTTCCCCATCCCTGTTCTGAGTGGAAGTGACTGAGAGGTGAATAGTGTATGACTTGGCAATGACATACGAAAACACTAACCAGTAAACTGAGTCGGGTCGGCAACTGCCACCTCCCTGGTTGGGAACCCCAGCTCTCAACTCACCAATGATCAATGACATTGGCAGAAATGTCCCAAGAGTAGCTACGCAGTTTCTGAACTAACCAGATGTTCCATCGCCTCCAACGCTTGGTTGTATGTCCCAAGCACTCCCTTTTTGCGGTGATGTAGACTAAAGCCACTGGAACCAAGTTGCCTATAGTGCACGGTTTACAGCTGGTAAATTGAACTGAAAAAAATATTTTTGATGGAGAATCATTTGAAAAAAATTGGCTGAGTAGACCACAAAGACAAACCGGATACACAAGCGTGTTCCCCAGCTTTATCAACACGTCTAGATGGCTTTCTCCAGAGAGCTTCATTTTGAGTAAAAATATATTTGACCGCTTTCTTGTCAAACAATTTATTCTATACGAGTTCAAGCGTAGTAAGGTCCATGATCTTACGTTGGTGATGTCAGACCGTCAAGTGCCTTCCTGCGTAAGCATATCTGCATGGCATTCTGGATTATGCAATCTAGAATTAACATTTCTGCCAGGGCAAGCCATACAGCAAGTGAGGTTGTGAAGAGGTATATTAGACATGATTTAAACTCACGTTCGATTAAGAGGTCCAAAAATACAGGTTCATCAAACTTCAATTCTCACTTTGTGTTGATTCAAAATTCATGGGTTTCTTAACGTCAACATATTGTGTAATAAGAAGCTCCTCTCACACCCGGTACGCTCCAATTATAAAATGGTTGCCTACCACAAGGACCAAAGCAAGCATAAAAGAAGCTCAAAAACGACGTACGTCGATTGGCTATGCTCTTGCTGAATCTCCAGTGGGCCGTTTAAGAGTCCCAACATCCACCACATATCCAGTGGTTTGAAGCGACGAGCCATTTCGTATAAAACATACACTGTGATCCCCTTCTTGAGAAAAAGCCCATGATTATGATCCAAGTCGTAAAATAGCTGGGGCCTTGTTGACTGTGCAAAGTCGAAAGTACATAACTACTTACAAAATCTTCTGTCCCGTTCTCCGATTACGGTTGAATCCTACAAAGTTTGTTTCAGCGATTTCATACACACCTGATTCGACAAAAGCAATTATGCGCGATTTGTCTGTTTGTAGCTGTCGCGATAGGTGAGTTGTACACAATATCACCTTCAGTCTAATGGCGATCTCAGGTGCTCGACAAAATCAAGTGATGTAAGTGAATACGTACAGCTTTAGGCTGACCTAGTCTAAATCTATGGTTATTCATTCGTTACTGGGGTTTAAATGACGCAAAAACAAAGTTTACTGTGCTTTGCTTGTATTTTTTCTAGGAAACGGAACGCTATCACAACCGCAGCATGTATCCAAATGAAAATCACGATCGATCAAAGCTGGTTTGTCGTAAACGAGTTAAGTCAGGATGTTTTTTATTCACCGTCTGTTGATGAATTAAATTGATCCCAGAACTTAGATTTATCCTACGGAATGTCTCATCGGTTGACAAGGGGTTCATTTTCGTCATTTCGTGCGTGATTTCTGTCATGTCTGAACCATTCGGGTGGTTGACCCGATCCGTAGCAAACGGAAGATGATAAGTGATGGGGTTTCATGGCACGTAGCTTTTTTCACAAAGGGGTGTGAAGAAATTGTCCTTTTATAGGGATTTTTCCACCATAGATTTCTTCCTTATTGGGGTTCACTATCCACAATATTGGCTAGCCGACGTTTTTGGCGGATGCTAGTTGAATTTTTGCGCTTCTGTTCTGGTTGTATCAGCCAGCTGGCTGATTATAAATATTATGTGTTGAATGGCAATGATCACACAAAAGATTGAGAAACTAGCCGCGGTCAAAGCTCCTTCGAACACAGAGCTCATAGTCGTTCACGATAACTGAGCACTTATCGAACTTGCCGTTTATATACGGCTAAATGCAGTCGACAAAAACGAGGTATCGCTCGTCAGATGGGTGATCGTCGCCCACCCGTATATAGTAAGTTTATCGGGTGCAACCGAGAGGCACTATTAACCGCCGAGGTCACTCGGTTGCCCGAATTCTGAACTCCAGTGCACATGGGGTGAATTTTAACAGCCAACTTCTTCGAAACAGACCACATGAAATCTCACAGACAACAGTTGGCAAGTCACTTGTCCACTCCGTTGAATAGGAAGCAGTGATTATAATGTTGGTACACCTGGGCTACTAATAAGCAAGTGGTCTGTTAATCCACTTTTGAGGTTATTTCATCAGAATGCTGTTAGGGTCAGTTTTATACTTTTCAGTTATTTAGGCGGGTCAAGGAAGTTCGGTGTTCTTTCCTCCCACCATTGTGATATAAATGCTTAATATGTTCTATGGGAGTGGTGCTGCGTCCGTGGATTTTCATGCTGACTAATCTTATGCTTGTCCACATCTAGTTTCCAGCCTTAGCTAAATGCAACAAAAACGAGGTATCGCTCGTCAGATGGGTGATCGTCGCCCACCCGTATATAGTAAGTTTATCGGGTGCAACCGAGAGGCACTATTAACCGCCGAGGTCACTCGGTTGCCCGAATTCTGAACTCCAGTGCACATGGGGTGAATTTTAACAGCCAACTTCTTCGAAACAGACCACATGAAATCTCACAGACAACAGTTGGCAAGTCACTTGTCCACTCCGTTGAATAGGAAGCAGTGATTATAATGTTGGTACACCTGGGCTACTAATAAGCAAGTGGTCTGTTAATCCACTTTTGAGGTTATTTCATCAGAATGCTGTTAGGGTCAGTTTTATACTTTTCAGTTATTTAGGCGGGTCAAGGAAGTTCGGTGTTCTTTCCTCCCACCATTGTGATATAAATGCTTAATATGTTCTATGGGAGTGGTGCTGCGTCCGTGGATTTTCATGCTGACTAATCTTATGCTTGTCCACATCTAGTTTCCAGCCTTAATCAATGTGGAACTGGCAGCTCGTGGTAAAAAACATCGTTGAGTAGGCGATGGCCTGCTTCAAATTCAATACAGGCTCAAAGATTCTGCGCATCGTGAGTTGTATTCATAATCAGTGGTAAAGACCATTTTGGTAAGAGGGTCAGCCATCAAAAACTCGCATTTTGGTGGTTCTCTGAAGTTGCCTCCAATAGTTCTGCTGTCAACAGTAAGAAACCCACCTAAGAACAAACCGGTTTCGTTCGGTTCTTTCCGGAAAAGAAGGCTAATAAATTTATCTGAGGTAAACAATGCACCAGCTTTTCCTGTCAAAGTTTAACATGGACAGACTAATTCATTTATAGAGAAATACTAGCGTTTAGCGTCAAGAAATGCGCACTCATTGAAACATTACACTTTAACCAGTCTCTGTAAATCCATTGTGTGTTGCACAGTGAAGGTTACGTGTGTATGACCATTCTAGTGTCACTTATAGATGCCCTGCGCTAGCAAGTGGAAAGTAACCATGCGTAGGTTTGTGTTAGCACTGATTGAGATGTGCTAATCGTTGCCATAGTCAGGAATTCGGTTAAGGACACCTGGTGAAACTAGCCAAACACATCGGTCATGACGAGCAACTATAATTATGTTACGCAAGGTAGAGACTGTCAGATGCTGTCACTATACAACTCAATGTATACACTCCCAAGACAAAAAGCAAATCCTCAAATTTCCAAAATCCATAGCTTTTTACTCTTCTTTCTTTTGAAAAATAGTTTTGAGCGGAGGAACTTGTGTAACATTTCTCCAATCCGATGTTACATAGATGAATTAGGTTACATAGAAGTGGTGCGGAAGCGAGTAGGAATCGGGTAATTTTGGGGAATGCCCAAAGTTTAAATGGTCCCAAATTGAAACCGCAGGAGTTGGACGCTCTTGCTCGCTGGCGAATACTCAGCTGGTTTCTCTGCAGTAGGGATAACGCTCTGTAGATTTTGACGCAGCTTTACTGTCAGCAGCAACCTGGTAAGCAATTCTTCTTGGACAGTCCAAAGCTTGACAGCATCGCCCACCTCCTCACAGTGTTTCCTCTTAGATGAATATTTTGATTTTTTCTTCCCAGCTTTCCAAATTTTATTGCCAAAACTATATTCAATTTGGTCGTTTTTTTGGGAAAAATACTCTTCCAGGTTACATGATGAAACTGAAAATCCGGGCTGAAAATCAAGGGGGTTAATCTCAGTTTTCATATCGCAGACTAGTCGCAAAGAAAAAACCCAACAAGCGACATGCCACTTCATCCAAGAAGTCATCATGAGAATGAGCTAACCAACGCGCGATAACCTGGGTTGAACAATGGTTGATAGATGATGGCATAATTTGTTCAGACCCGAGCTTTCTACTTTAGTGACCAACCACTGGTGGATGCAAGGCATAGTCTATTAGGTTGGATTCTACTGAGATTTTCGCGATATGTGTACTATTGATGATTCCTAACGAGAGTGAAATAGCTGTGGTGGGATGAGATGGCGCAAGTGGTTAGATCGCGAGTTTACCGACCGGAAGATCCGTGGTTCGAACCCGACCTCTGACTCTCGACTTCCTCTGTATAGGCTTGGGCAACCTTGCAGTATCCCAGCCCACGTGCAACCTTCGGGTGGTATAGCAGTTAAATAAAGCACGTTGTGCGCTCCAGTTTCCCGACGCATCTTGGTCTCACTTGCAAAATCTGAATTCATCGGGCACACAGATAGAAAGCATCCACCAGTGTGAACGAACTAACACTATCTACTAGCTATATGTTTCGTCACATAGGCCAACCCAACTCCCCAGTATCCAAAACCACACGGGCCATCGTGATGGATGAGCTGGACTGGTTGCAGCTCCTAAAATGTGAGCGTTTTGGTGGCGAACGACAGTGAGTCCACACAAGCAAACTGAGCTTTGATTCCCATATGTCGATTCACCTAAACCACACTTCTTTAGATCGACCTTACCACCCAGTACCAACCAAAACCGCTCACAAACTGAGATCCAACGTAATTTTGTAGGTGATGAATAAATTTCCACAACTTGCCATTCAGAAGAGTAGAGTTTACTACTCCTCTCTGGGACCTTCACTTGAAGATAATTTATTTGTTTGCACGATTGTCATATCGCGATTATCACAGTAGTCATGGTCACCGTTTGCTCACAATCAAGCCAAAGTCCTCCACTGAACAAACGTGCAGGACAAAATAGTGACACGTTTTAAGCAAATATTTTCAGACGGCAAGAGATTACTGCTGCCATTGACGACGGGCCAAACGATACTGGTGAAACGTCAACGGCGGTTCCAGGAGGGGGGAACATATATGATTCTATTACATCATTTTGTGAGGTTCCGAGCGAACTATAATACGAATGTAGCAATGTGTGACGCTAGCTGTCTCCTCGATTAATTGGCATGGGGTGTAGTTTTATTTCATGATAAACCATGGCAAACCCTTTTAGTAGTAACCAACAGTAACGACGATTGAACTATTACGCGTGGTCCTGTATGTGAAATACCCGTTTGGGTATGGTCCTCTGATGAGTAGAAGACAATTATTACGTTAGAAATCACGTTTAAACAGAATACTTGGAACCGTAGGCCGCTGGGCATTATATCAACCCATGCGTCGAATGTACACTCAGTGTTTCTTCGGTCACCAAATTTGTTCATACTTCGCCAGCGTCGTCTGAGGAAGGGACAAACGTCTGGTCCGCCAGACCGAATTTTTGTGATAAAATCTCTGTGATGGGGCTTGCTCGTTAACTAACGCTGAATTAAGAGCACATGTGTGTCGTAACAAGGTTATCCGGATCATGCCAACCTAGTGAGCTTCACACATTATCTACACTGTTGATAAAACGCTTATTTTGGCAGATTAAAACCTGCGTAGTCACAAAATAATATGATTTTATCTTATTTGGAATCGAGTGACCACTGAACGCGTGCACCTTAAAATATAACTAGAATCAGGTCCTAGAGGGAAGTCGAAAGATGGCACTTCTAAGTTAGTGTCCCCTAAAAGAACTGTGTGTAAAATGAATGATGAACTTTATAAAACCACGGAGCGCCTCCATAATGACGTAAACTCAGGATACACTGCTGGATGTTTTAGAGTGCTCAAGCCCACTAAGTTATCACAACATCCGTTTTGTGAATACAGCCAGACGGTTGCGCCAAAAATGACAGCTTAATAAATATGTCCACAAATTACAGGGCTCACGTGGTGCATTGTAGAAAGGCTGACGAAAACTCCGTCAGAGCAACCCCTCTTCCTTGCCGGACCACCTGCACACACACTACTTAAGTTGAACTCATTGTACACAGGAGTAATTTTACGAATTGCACCGTCTCTCATATTGGAAATAGCATCATTTTCTAATGATGTTTCTAATGATGTTGTATAAGCTAATATGCCATCCGCAAACATAAAGTATGGTATGACCTGGTTGCGATGGTTGTTGTTGTACGCAATGATCTGCTCTGGTGGCTGACTATTGAAGGGCCTAGTGTCATTTAGAGAATCACGCGGAACGCTTCTGTGTGTAGCGATCGGGTTGTTTGCGATTGGTCCGGCCACTCGTTCTGCTTCTACTACTCTAATGGTAGGCGTTTTGAAAACGTTTAAGCAGATTTCATAATGTCTGGACCAGTTTGGTTGACCAGGAAACAGAGCTTGAGCTCGGTTTACTGACAGACCTTCCGAAATGAAAATCCGCCCACTTTATTGACATTGATTTTACATTGAAGAGCGATAGCCAGGACAAAAGAAGCAGTTCTTGGTAAGGACAGACATTATCACGTATCCGAAGAGTGCTGGTGAAAGTGACTTTGTGAGTAGACATTTGTGACACTGATAATATGCTCAGATGCTTTCAGGAAGCGCCTACAATGCTAATGAACGCAATTCGGGTATATCTGTATCCGCTAACAAACTACCGTATTAGTGCTGTTATATACCACAAAATTACTAAGAAGATAAACTTGTACCAACGAACCTGGATGAATTCCTTCATTCTAATTTTTTTATTCTTATCAAGATGCCCCAAGGCTGCGAGTTCAGTGCAACTACCCTCTTCCGGCTATGAGATGCCAAAACGGCGATTCAGAAGGACAAGCAAGAACTAGGAATTTTGCACTTCAGGTTAAGCGCTATAACAACGCGGAAGATATATTGGGTCAGTGGGCGCAGAATCTATGTTACACTTTAGCATTAGTGGATCAAAGCCCAAAACAGCTATTTTAAATTGAACCAAACATTTCGCATGAATTCTCATAGCTTGAATCTTTGCTTTTTCCTTCTTCATGACGCCGTTGAGTATGGTCATGTCATCATAAACGATTTCCACTTGGTTTGATATCATGCAATAAACCTTTAGTTTCAGAAGAAATTAGTATTTTACCGAGCCCTTTTAAAAAACTTGACTTCTCAATCGGTTCGAAACTTTTTTTCAGATTGCAAACAGTGAGTCATTCATTATGTCACTGTGCTCATCCTTGAACAGATCTAGTACAGTCCTCAATTAAGCCGTTTGTATGAAGTACGAGGAAGGCCTTATGTGTCTGTTATCGGAAAACCATCTTGTGAATCCACCACACAGATTACCTTTCACTAAAATCGTGCCAGGCAAGCAGAATGAACACCGGTTGAACAGCCTTGAGAGGATAATACTTCGGGTTAGTCACCAGAAATTTTAAGTGGCTTTACTGGCGTAGTCTTTTCATTCGCTAAACTGTGCAACAAAAGCTGTGTACCTGCCGACACAGCTTAAGCTATAAAATCTGTCCTGGAAAGTGAATTTATACATTTCCCGAATTTAGGCTGACTATCACCAAACGGATCAACGTTAAAAGGTACAGAGCTTATTTACTGTAGAGAATCGGAAGTCAACGATCTGAAGGGACGCCTGACAAAAACGAACAATTATGCTGTTTAATTCAACCCTCTATCATTTAAAGAACTAGGGAAAACGAAAAGTTTCGAGAGAAAAATAGCTCACCAAACGCCTCCTATGTGACGATCTACTTAAAGCTGAAATCCCGTGTCCTGATCCCGACAATACCGCGAAATTTTCAAGCTTTTCAGGCTCTGTTCATGGGTCCAAAGACTGACTTTTAAAGTCAGATTTGAAAAGGAAAACATGAGTTTATTCGGCGTCAGTTTAGAAATCCTGTTCTTGCTGACAGCAGTGATTTAATGGTAAAGTGACCAAAATTTTCCATCCGTGATGAATTGATGGGACAACAGACAGTCAGCCATTTTCGTTTTGTTTCCACTCACGATATATGCACATCAATAAAACAGGACCGTAGTGGAGCAAAGGTTGAATTTACCACCAAAATACTGCAAAACACAGCCTAGCCAACCACATTTCATTTGCTTCATAAAGGTTTGTAATAAAAGGTGAAAATATCAGTTACTTTGAACCACTTGCGATAGGAACTTACGTTTTCCAAGAATTCGATTGATTTTTAAGCATTAATCACACAGAAGAAACCGAAACCCAAATGTTTCGGGCTGTTGATTTATTTTCCACCTAGCCTAGATGGACCATTTTGTGCTGTACAAAATTTTGTTATACACAGATGTTGTAAATGTTTTCAGCATGCCGCGAACAAGCTCAAGAGAACCCTGTTATACTTAGGCAATGACAAAGGAGAACGAGTAATACAACTCTGATCAATCCTGAACCACACGCTTTTCTTCAAATAAAACATATCTCTACTGAAGGCACGAATAACAAATCAACAACTCCAAAACCAGGAGGCGTAGGAAATCGGTTTTTGACGTTTTTATGTCATTTGCCTTGGAAGCTTGACCTCTTCCAACTAAGCGTTACTGAGAAGAGAACACTAGTCGCAGATTTTGCAACCGAGGTGACTGCCTATCCACTCAGTTTGGCTACGATAATCTGCTGGACACTGATTAGCTGATGGCAAAATGACTATTTTGTAAGTTTTCTTTATTTGCACACGTTTCTTTGAGGTTGTGGTAAAGTAGATGCAAAATCTGTCTCTTTTTTATTCCTTAAATACCCTGGCTTTGCTGGCGTTACTTCCAAGAAGATCACGAAGTCTACACCAGAACTAATGAAATTACACAGTTCATGATTTCACTAGTTCTGTTTTCCGTCGGTTAAAGTACCAGCTCACCCATGTTCCCTAATTAGGTGTAAGTTGCCTTCAAGGCAAAACAAATTTATGGAGGAATACCACACGATTTTTAGTTAACCGCACTTGTTTGTTGTACGTTTGTTTCCAAATATTGCTTTTTCGATATTACTAAATCACCTTGCAGGGGTGTCGATATGTCTGATCATAAATATTTACCCAATCTTAAAATCTTCAAAACACTAGTGAAATCAACACATTGGTTTTATTATCAGCCACGTCGACCGTCTAATTGAGTATCATCTTGTTCTTGTCTCAGTCACTGAGAAACGGCGGAATGAAATGTAAACGCCTGTCTCCATCATAAACACAATAATTGTTTGTCGCGGTTGATGAGGAAGAATTTCATTACAAACCTGACATTGTGGCTGATCTTGACTACCATGGCACATTTGAGGTTATTTTAGGCCTACGGAAACACCTATTCCTTCGTTATACAGTGGTAGGTGAACGCTTCCAGGAAAGACGATGATCAGGCCAGTGAATCTGGTCGATATGCTGCCTTGTATACGGAATCGTGGCAGTGATGAGAACAGTTTGATTTAAAGCCACCTTATTCTGTCTCACAACTTGGACTAATGTGCGTGTTCTACTAAATCACCGTTATTAATAGGTGGTGGTCACATACAAGAAGCATACACTTTTATACTGAGTCACAGAGGTTTTCGTCGATCAGGATTTAGAAATGGGTCATATACCTGTACTCTGCCTGAAGG